ATTGCTCTTCAATTGTAATAATCCATTCTTCAAATAAAAATAATTCATTATGAAGGTCTATAAAAAGAAAGATAAATATATTCATAAGATTTCATCAATAAAATAAACCTTGAATAATTCGATCAAAATCTTCATCTAAATAACTAATGAAACGTGATTCAAGTTCATTCCATATTTTATAAATTATTTCCTTTTTAGTTTGTATAACAATATTTAAATCTGGAAAACGTTCAATTAATTTATTTGAATATTGATTAAACATTCGTAAACGCATTAAACCTTGTTCATATAATTCTTCGTAAGATTTCTAAAAAAAGAAAAATTCTTATCAATTTTCAAAAAAATTTTTCATTTTTGTCTTACTTGTCGTAGATAACAAGTTAAAGTATTTGATGAAATTTTTTTAATTACATCAGATATTTTTTCACACCAATCGGACAATTCAACATATTGTTTTTCAAATTCATTATAAGATACATGATGAACAGTAAGATCATTTAATGAATAAAATGGTTCTTCCAAAGAACTCTAAACAAAAATTAATTCTCTAAAATTTTTTTGATCTACTTTTTAAACTTACTTTACAATGACAAATAAGTTCTTCAGACATAAGAAAATTATAATTATCTAAAAGTGTACCATTCCAAAATTCTTGTCGTTTTTTATTGATTCTATAAAAAAATAGATTCGAATATATTTATTTATATACATGATAAATTGTACTAATGAGGAAAAAAAAAAGAGGTCCTTCAGATGACGTCAAACATTTGACGACAATACTTTTCTTTTTGAAAAAAAAAAGAAATTGACGATTGATAGATAGATGACCTTTTTGTTAGGAAGTTGTTCGAGTAAATGTATACATCACAACGTTTATAATGACAATATTGAATAAAATTGTTGAAAAGTAATAAAAATATTTTATTGATATGATACATTAAGAAATTGCACTTTAACTTAAACAATTTTATGGAAAAAAAGAAAACAAATTAGAAAAAAATTTTTCTCATTAACTACTGATAATGACTATTAAACTTTTATCATTACAATGAATCTTGTTGATATAAAGATAGTAGATCGAACATGTGTTATAACATTGATGTTAGATTTATATCGGACTAGACGAATGAAAGAATGATTGGAAAGTAATGAACATCGAATTTGACAAATAATATTCATACAGATTTCTCAAGGACTACAACTTTTTCTAATATCCATCATTCAATATTTGACAAATCAGTTCATCAGACGACAACTGACATTTATTTCACAATCAAGGACATACTTATTCACACTGAAGATTTGTCCGGAATGAATGTCTCCTCAAGAAGGCTGATTAAATAGACAAGCAACAAAACTCAGAAACTTCGCCGAAGAAAAAACGAAAATTTCTCAAGATTGAAAGTTGTGCTTCTTCTCTCTCCTAGTCGGAAGACTCTTGATTATTTGTTATAATTCAAATAGAGATGATTTTAGCATATGTAGAACTCGGATAGATCTTACGAGAGAACATTTTCAACTGATCAGTTACTTTTTTAACAAAACCTATTTGATTATAGGTTATCGATCAACTGATTCCAAATATGACCATGAGAAATTCCCTTCGATCTTCATATATTGATTTTCTTGACTCAGAAAATTTTTGCTAAATTTTTTGTTTGATCTGTAAAGATTATAAAACGTATCAATTTGTCTAGACAACAATAACTTTTTATTTTTTAAGGAGATGTATTCTCTCATAAACATACCTCCAAACTTTACCAATTTGTAGAGAATACTTTTGAAGGTATGTATATACAATAAAAAAAAATTTAGTTAACTATTGACTGAGTTATTAATTAATTAAATATCTTAGGTTGAGGAGCATTTATTAAAAAAAAATTGCCAGTATTTCATATGAATGTTAGATTTAGTTCAGTCTGATGTAGTCTTGCATATATAATTCCATGTAAAAAAATATTAAAGATGATTTTTTTTGTGCCGTTTAATTATTAATTAGTCATAATTAACACTAATTAACGACACTTCAGCACAAAAAGTAACTTTTCCTAATGACTGAATAAATCAAAAACATGCATAAAAAATATCATTCGATAGAGCTTCAAAAGCTCTACCGATGACCAAACTCATTTCTTTTGAAAGCTTCCATTTTCGAAAAAAAAAAATTCAATATCACAGGTAACATGCTACAAAATGATCTCGTCTTTGGCAGTTTTGTCCATTATATTTCTATTTACAACCAAAATGGATATGATATTCGAAATCAGCATCAAAAACTGAGTCGGAGAATATATCTTTTTTGCAGAAAAAATCCTGTCAAAATTACATCTACACTTTCCCTCAGCTTTTCTCAAAAAATTTCATTCGTCGTCCCTACGAAATACTGTTTTTTGCAAAAAATTCCGACTCAGTTTTTGAGACATTCAAAAAAGTTACTTTTTGCACTACAGTGTCATTAATTAGTGATTAAACGATACAAAAGAAAGTCATCTTTAATATTTTTGTTTTACATGGAATTCTATATATGAAAACTACATCAGAATGAACTAAATCTATTAATGATTCAATCAATAGTTAACCAAATTTTTTTTATTGCATACATATACTATTGAAAGTATTCCCTACGGATTGGCAAAGTTTGAGAGTATGTTTAGGAGAGAAATATTCTCCTTAAACGATTCTTTTTTTTGTTGCACAAAATACAGTCATTTTAATTTCTATAACAGATAGTTACCAATATTTTAATGCAAAAATCATTTTAGGAAAATAGAAAAGATTATTGACTAGAAAATTAGCATATAAAAACCTATGGATATTTCTCATGGTCATATTCTGAATCTGTATGCTTGATAACTCATAATCTAGTAGTTTTTGGTGAAAAAGTGATTGGTTTTTTTTTTGTTTGAAAGTGTTCTATGCAATATGCATTAGAATAGAAGTTGAAAAATTCTTAAAATTACTCGAATCATTGTTGTGTGATAATTTCGATAAGTTCTTTGAATCTAATACTCATTTCGAATGAACGAACAAAAGTATGTTCAATTATATTTCCAGCTTAAATAAAACAAAATATATATAAATCATAGTTACTTGCTCGCCTATCTTTGACGATTAATATACAAAGAACTAATATCCACAGTGATTTACTTTAGGCATACCAGCTGCAATATTTATCTTCCATTTCTATCATTATATTTCGGTCTCTCTATGTCTCTTCTGCGGAATCGGTTATAAGATTCTATCAGCTTACTATTTTGTTCTGCCTACATTCTTTTTTTAGTTATCACACTACTTTGCTTCTTTCATATAAACATTTATATCTGGAAACCTTGACACTTCATATTACGACTATCAGTCTAATTTGTCTTTTATTTCAAATACTTTTTTTTCTATTTCTGTATACATTTTTTACTTACACATTTGTCCTGATTTGATTAATCTCTGTCTTATAACATATTAAGGTCAAATAAATGCTGGTGGAAAAAAAAATTGATTGTGTATAAATCATCGTCATAGTCAAATAAATTCTAGTATTATTATTATTATTATCAAATATCAATTTTAATTTTTGTTCTATTCGATAAGGAAAGGAAAAACAAAACAAGAGAATAATTTAAATAAAAAAAACAAAGGTATCAAGGACATTCTCTCGATGAAATTAATAGAAAAAGAAAAGTACATACTTATTTGAATTTGGAATTAGTACATGATGTAATGGTGAATTATGAATATTCATATTTATGTAATATATTGATGTTCAATTGATAGTGTCGTGAGTCATTCTTTTATACTTTTGTGATCTGAAAGTATACAAATATGTATATTTCATTGATAAAATTTTTTTTCGTTTTGTTTTGATTTATCGAAACTTTTACTATTGAATTATATTTATAAATATTCAATATTTTTTTATTAGAAAAAAAAATCGTACTTGTTATGATAGAAATAATTATATAATTCAATAGATCATAAGATACTGACAACAGATGTGACTGTCGTTATTTATTAATATTATTACTTATCCTCGAGATATATTCATCTAAATAGCAATCAGCCATTTTCATATGGTCAAAATATGTTCGTATATCGAATGCAACTACAAAGAAAATGATGTTCATTCAATAAGAAACATATTTTTACGTTTATAATTTCAATGATTGAATGCATGTCGATTTGAATAAATTGTGTTCATAATGTATATTGATAGCGAAAAATTAACGGTAGATCTAGTATTATGGAATGAAGGAATATTTTTCTGAAGCAAAATGTACTTAAGGTAATATTAAATTGTTTTATGTTTGTTTCTATTGCAGAAAAAACTGAAGTAATTCTTTCGAAAGAATATCATCTTTACATCAATTTTATTTTGAAATGATATTGTAATGATTTTCGATTTGGATTAATTTCTGTAATAAAGAACATGATTTAATTAGCAATTTTGGTGTGCATTAGAATGATCGTTGGACATAATATTTCACTATCAGATTTTTGAAAGGTTTAAAATCAAATTTGACTGCTAAGTATGAGTGTTTTTGGGGAGAGAATTTTCAAATTCTACTAAACTTTTTGACAGTGTAGTAAAAAAATCAAGGACACCAGTACGGACAACAACATATATTCATAGTCAGATTAAGATGAAGTAACAGAAAAAAAATGATATTTAAACATTGGTTCTATACTTTTAGGATCGGTGGATTTTCAATAAGGCTTCTCTACTTGGATTTTCTGGCTTTTCAGATTCATTGATCACAAAAGCAAACACATTTTCTCCGATCAGAATCCTTGATCATCCTAATAGCCTCGTACTCACCCGTCGGATTTGGATTATCGATGTAATGATAGTATTCTTCCGAAAGAATTACATATTGATTGAAGAGAGATAGAGATGACGATCACACTCGCTTCGCGTCTTCACATCCTTAAATCCTTCCACTCAACAAAAAAAACAACCTATAGACATTATGTTTCGGATCTATTTATCTTTATAACTAATCTAATGCATAACGAACAGTCAAGTTCAACAATCAAATTTGTTTTGCTTATCTTTCTATTTCATGCTAACATTTGTTTAAAAGATATCGGATAGTATCATCTATTATGAATGTTATTGATGTTTTCACAGAAATTTTAAAAAATTGCTTTAAATAAACTATATTAATAAAATAAACTAATTAAAATAATTATCGATGATACTGTATACAAATTCTAAGAATGATACAACTTTTTCTAAGCATACAATTAATCTTGTCGTTCTATGTCTCATATATTTACATCAAAAGAAGAAAGAATGAATACAGATCACTTCCAGTAATGAGTAACATTATCGATTTTTTTCTTCTTCTTTACATTCATAATTGATGGACGGAGGTGAGATTTTAACTTATACTGATTAAATGTTTACACATGCCATAGTAAAAAAAAAAAAAAGAAAAAGGACATTATGTCAAGGTCGTTATTTTATACTATAAAAGCACCTGTTAGAACTAATTAAGAAAAGATTAATCTTTCATCATTTCCGTCTATTATATCATAACTAATTGTTATTATACATATACAATTAAAGAGATTCACATATGGAAATAATAATCATTTTACATTCAGTTACTAATGTCAATTTGGTTAGAAATATTTATAGTTTGACAATATGATAAGAAATGTGTGAATAAAATTTGTCTAATGAAATTCACATAAGCAATACGGATCATCACTTATCAAATAAACATATTGTGATCACGTCTTAATTATCATAGTAGCAATTATCAAATTTTTCAATGAATTATTTTCTTTTCTTTTTTTTTATTTTTATAGTTTTTCTGTCTTAAGGTTATTATTCTCGTCTTGATGAACGGATGTCATGACTGCTGTTTAAAACGAGAAAGAGAAAAAAAAAAGGACAATTACACTACAATAAAAGATTAAATTTCAATATGACCTTAAAATTGTTATGTCTTCATAGACAACATTATAATAAGTGACTTGTTAAATATTTTACGTCACTTTTTATCGTTCAATACACATATTCAAAATATTTTACCTTACTATTTTTATCGACTATTATATCAATTCAATGAACGTAATAATAAAAATAATGCAATACAAATGATAATTGTTAGACAAATAAATATACATTCAAATTTCATTGAATAAAATAACTTACGAATAAAATATAAATGACTCTTATATAAAATACACTCTATCAAAAGTGTCAAAATAACGAAGACGAAAAAAAAAATGTTGATGTCAATAAATCACATAACGCAATCAGACTATCATCATATATTTATTGTATCTCATCATTAGTTTTCAAAGGAGACGACGGTATGTGATGTGTTACGTTATCTTCTTAACCATTAAATATGGAGAGAATTCGATAAAATGATTTATTCAATCATTTAATACAAAAATATAATATAAAAATTCTCACAAAAAAAGAAGCTAGAAATATCAAAATAATATAACTGAAATATAAGTGTATATGAAGAGTAGTAAAAATTAATTGAAATAGAAATTTATATCTACCTACTTTATACAAAAGTTAAATCAATTTCATCATCAATGAGAAATAAAAAAAAAAAAATGATGTTATATTATAATACTTACCTAAAATCTTACCCTATTTTTTGACATCGTTCACATTAAGTAATTCAACAAACCAAATGAGAAGAAAAAAAAAAAAAAGAAAAGAAAAACGGTTTGACTTGCGCATGGTGACGTTGTCGATTTTATGTATGTATGTTTGTGTGTGTATCATATATACAGAAAACAAAACATTGCAGAAGATGATGTAAAGCTGACAAACCATTACACGATTATCAGAGCACATATACTAATACGCGCCGTTTCCTATACAGACGCATAATCTTAATTAGATATATGTGTGTGTGTGTATGTTTTGTCAAAGAAGATAAGAGATAAAATAAAAAAATAGCTGCACGCCAGAGCTATCATCACCCACATCTATTTACTAGTCAACTGATTAGCAAGAAAAAAAATATTAAAACTATCATCAGTTTAGTTCAAAGTATCCGCTAAGTAGTCACTTTGCTTTTTTTCTTCTTCTTCTTAGACTGATTCATTTTTCCGTTTACCTACGTGTAACAATAATAATAGTAAGCAGTAAGAGTCTGTCGTCTCGATTGACCAATTTTGAGAGTATGTTCGAATAACATACACAATCAAAACGTTTTCGTCGTGGTTTAATCGTTAATATATGGCGCAATTTGTATGAAGGAGAACGAATGAACAATCAATTTCGAACTATCATCTATTGACAAGCGCGAGAGAGAACGACCAATTCTTCTTCGTTTTAGCGTCCAACACACTTTCTATCTCTAGCCGCGAGACATTTGATAATGTGAATGAATGAATGAATGAATGAACGTGAGAGTATATATGTATATATATGTATACTTTTAACGTTTCTTTCACATTTATTCTTGATTTTGATCAAATTAGAAAAGAAAAATAACGCATGAGAGAAAACAATCATTTGAATCTAACAAATTTCACTTATGATCAATAGTTAATCGAGCATCATTTATTGTACTTCAACAAACAAAAAAAATAATACTAATTCTATTCATAAAAACAAAATTAACCTTCATCTCATTTATATTCTCAAATATAGAAAGAAAAAAAGAAGAATGAGCTGTTGACATCATATTGCGAAATTTCTTTCATCGATCTTCTATTTTTCACATGATGGATCAGTTTGTCTCCGTTCGATGTCTATTATCACACGCACACGCATGTGTTCATTTATTGACCGGACATATATGTATGTATATATATAACGCCTGTCAAAAGGTTAAAATCTATTTCCCTCAAACATCATTATTGACTGAAAGAGAAAAAAAAAAGAGTCATCGATGTAATAATAACTTTGAACAATATTTCATCTAATCTAATTATCATTGAATTCTATCAGTAACAGTAATTGTTGACCTTACAGATGAACGAATGTTGAAGTAATATCAAACTTCTTTATCCATTAAATTAACATTTATCTTTGTCTATTCTTTTGTCAATCAATTAAAAAAAAAAGAGAATTCGATACTATGTGTATGTTGAGATTTATACATTCAGATCCTATCAGAGCTTCCGATTCCATAAATGGATAATACTATGTATACAATCTATTTTTATTGATGTTCAATGTAAAATAAGAAAATGATACTTCTCTAAAAAGATTATGAAGCAATATGAAAAAAGACAAAAGTGAAGATATATTAAATTTTTGCATTCTCAGAATTTTAAATACAATCTGATGATTAAATTCGAGGTAAGTTTATATTCTTATAATCAATTGTTTTTTATAGATAGAGAGTATTATTCATATCGAGAGAAATTGTATGCGAACATTTGAATAAATATACGTTGTGTTGAATTTTAGAATTTTTTTTATTTTAATGCAATACATATTATTTATAAATGTGGAAAATTTATTAAATTGTTTTTATTTATAAATAAAATTGATGAGTCTCAAGTTTTGTCATTATGTTTTACTCTTTCTTTAGTGTTCACTAGAATAGAAAATATCTTAGAATGAAGCATATTTTACATGGACAACAATACTTCTACTAAACAAGAATGTTAATGAATATAGAATAACGAAGAGTTAGTAGTGATGAATGGTAATAATAGATAAACAAAAAGAACTCATTGACATTTCTATGTCTATATATCACAAATGTGCATTTTTTTTTTTGTTGTGTTTGATTTTGTTAGTTCCAAATAGAGATTTTTTCTATTGATAAATCGAACTCTGTGATGTTTATGATTTGTATTTATACAATAATGAACAAAAAATTTTTTTCAACGATTTTTTGTAAATTGCATAAGGAATTTTGCTTTTCGAATATATCCATAAGAGCGTCTGACGCTACAAATTTTCCATAAAATGATCTCTCGGAATTGAAAAAAAAATTGTTTTGGGACATTTTAAGTCATCTACTGTCTTATATAGCATCAGACGCTCTTATGAATATAATATTTGAAAAGAAAAATTACTCATTATATAAAGAGCTCATATGAAGTCTAACATTATCAAAATGTAGCTCGTGTTTTGCTGTTTCTATTTATATGATTTCAATTCTTTTGAATAATTGTAGCAAAAAAAAACGACTCAGTTTAAAAGATCATTCAAAAAAAAAACATTTTGTCGCACTTCTCGACAGAGTTACAGCAGTTTTATTGGATTTGTTTAATTATTAAATTTCATGATCGAAGTGTTAGTCAAAATGATAATATTTTTCTTGAAATATTCAATACTCAAAAAACTCTAACGATTCTTCTAATTGTCTCTCATGTTTAATCGATTTTTAAATATTGAATACTTTAAGAAGCATTCTATTATTTCCAATGAAATGTTAAAGATATTCTTAGAATCATCAAATTTTTTATACAAAGATAATTTTATATTCAAAATTCTGTTATTCAAATTTTTCTGCCAATATGAAATCTAACAAAACTTCGTAACTCTATAAATAAGGTTAATAGGTTAGAATTCTTCACGATTAATTCTAGTTAATAGATCTTCTATGCATTCAAACAATGATGAATTACTTCAAGATCTACAGAAAATGTCGAAATTATTGCATTTATAAAAAAAGAGTTCATCGAGCACGCACTAAACACATTCTCTAATGCTTCCGACTAATTAAAGAACTATAGTAAGTTCTATAACTTCTAAGATAAAAATGAAAAGCCAATTTGATTGTAAGGATAATATTATAAAAGCGCTTTTAAGAGTTCCTTTTAAATGAAAAACATTAATCTTCATAAAATATTCGTCTGACCAGCTGGTACATGTCAATCTCACTGAAAGTATTTGTGATAAATTATATTTGTTGATAGATTAGACATTGACCTTGCATTTATAGCTAATATTTTCAGTTTTTTATTCAATATGAAGAAAATATCCATTCCCTTTGTCGTCCGAAAATCAATTATATTTAAAACTGTATAATTCCATTCTGTCTTATTGACTTTTAAAATTATTCTTCTCAAAGAATCTCCTAAGAACACTGAAAACATAATCAATTGAATAATTGAAATCAATGTTATTTTTTTTTTTCAATTAAATATTTTTTTTTTGTTTTTATATTTAATCATGAAAGAATGTGAATTACAAATATAGATATATTTGATGATAATTTCCATGTTTTTTTTTGTCCATGTACCGTTGAAATTTTCTTTTTATACCGTATCAAATGGATAACATTTTCGTAGATTTCGTTTGAAGATAAATTTGTAATATCCATGTTGTTTATATTGATATGGATTGTTATTTCTTTTTAATAATGTTTTAAAACAAATTTTTGGCCAAAGAACACTTCGTTGATCAATTCCATCATGTGATGTTAAATCATTATTAATATTCAATTGTTTGTCTAGATCGATATGTTGATTTAAATCATGACCGTTCATTGAATTGATTATTATGAATAAAACTATAAGAAATAATAATGTGTTGTTTAAAATAGGTGCCATATCGATATGCATCAAAGTGCAAAATGAAATAGAAAAATAACTTCTTATGTTTTTCTCTTTTTTCATTATGATTTATTTGGTTTCATTATATTCATAGTTAGTTTTCTTATATGTTTATAATTCATCAATGAACAATCTTAGAAAAGAGAGTGAAACTAGACTATTAAGAAAAAGCCAAAGAAAAAGACCAGAGCGAAATCTTTTGAAGTATAATTAACTTGTATATAATGGTAGGAGGATATTGTTTACGTCTTTGTAGAAGCTCCAATTGGATTAAGTGCTTAAAGTTGATCAAAAATTTTTTTCAAAATTTAATAAAAATAAGAAGAGATAGTTTTATATTTATTTTTATTAAATTTGTAAGTACTTTAAAAACCACATAATTAAACTACGTTCGATAAAATTACTTAAGTTCCCCTCTCAAAAATGGATCTTAGACTAAGTACATTCAAATTACATGAAATTTTCAGGATATGTTGATGCTCTCGTCGAGAGAGTATAATAAAATTTTCAATCCTATACTATAATGTGTTCAGGAGATATACAATAGACAAGGCTCAAAAATAGATTATTTAGAAACCCGAATTCTCTGTGGATCTTTATTCTATATACTTAGATGTTTTTATTCTTTGAAAGAGTATGTTAGAATTCAGGACATGACAGAATCCTGTTTTTTTAAAATTCTTACTTGTTAAGAGGAGAACAGGGATGAAAAATTCAATGTCTCGAAAAACTTTCAAAAAAAAGGCGCACTAATTATTAAAGTACTGTCGTATATAAATAATAACAATGTTTAATTCAGAAAAAAAGATTCTTTCATGTCCTACATTTTGACATACTCTTTCAAAGAAAAAGAAAAGTCATCGACTACAATGAAGTTCCTTCGAGAATTTTTGGAAAGAATAGCGTATCAAATAAAAAAATCATGTCATTTATGAACGATCAGACTTTAGGTTATCCTCCCATGTATTTATCTCAATTTTCATGTTTTTGATGAAAATTGACTTTTTTTTCTAGAGAACCTTAATAACAAATTACATAGTGTCAGATCTGATAAATATGACATGATATTGATACATTCTTCCATCAAAGAATTAATAATATTGAATGAATATGAAATCAACGATAATTGTCAAGTCATTTTGCGCTTCATGTTATTATTTACTGTCATATTTCATTAACAAGAGACGCTATGTAATTTTCCGCATAATAGTTGTTATATGTCATTTTGACTTTATCTATATTATCCATAAGAATAAGATCGTCTAATTTTAAGAATATACAAAATAAAGTTTTCAGTTCAAAACTATCTTTACTAATAATAGTAGTTAGGAAGTCATGTTCATTAATCCAGTTAACATGAATGGACTTAGAGTCAACCTATCTATAGCAAAATCTATGACTCATAATCTGTAATAATATTGCATAATTGATCACGAAATATCGCTAAATACTTATAACAAGTTTTAACGTAATCTTATTAGTATCTATCATTGAGAGATAATGAGCGATCTAATTAGAATATGACTTTTCTCGTCTTTAGATAATCGAGAATAATGCATTTCATTATAACATAAGAGAGGAAATCCATATGATGAAAATCATCTGTTGTGCCCGATTAACTGTCGTTTGTCGATAATTTTTTCGGATAAAATTGGTCGCTTTTTCTTAATACCGAACTTAGAGGAATAGTGATTTTTTAGAGAAAATTTTTGCAATTCCACATACATCACATATTGACGGTATACTAAATTCACCTGAAGACATCAACACAACAAAAAAAATATCTCCTAGTTAAGATCCAGTTTAAAATTTCTTCTTGTTTTTTCATTGGCCATAACTGTCGAATCAGTTCGTTTGCAAAACTAGCTCCTATTCATTCAGAATACATAATACATTAAAGATAAATATTATTTTTGTCTTGAATATCATTCGAAAACTGTACAAGTAATGATCTCTGAAAGTATCGTTTTTGCAGTGATGTCTATTTGTATTTTAGTTTTTGAATACAAATATAAGTTATATAATGAACTGTGCTATCACATATATTTTTAATCTATGAAAAACGAGAAAATGGTATTGTTTGTAGCTAATATAGGATTTTTCTCTTTCTATATGCGACTTATCAGTCATTGTGAATGGTCTATCATAAAAATTAATCCGGTATTTACAACATGAGAAGTCTCAGACATAATATCATTGTTAGTTCAATGTGGATCATCTTTAATAATTTGTCGTATCAGTTCGATATTTACATTTGTAAACTTGAAAATCAGACGACAAAATTAATTTTCATCATTGACATCTTCTCTTGTTTCATGAACTCTGTGTATCTACTCTCAAAATAATCCGAATTTTATTACAGTATCAATCGAATTCATTATCCATTAAAAAATTTTTTTTAAGTGCAATTGGATATTTTGTGAAAGAATAGTAAAACTAAGCCCAAAATAGAGTTATTCCTATGCATCATTATAGTATTTCCTCATGCAGCAAATTGCCAGTTGTATTGTCAAAAATTTTGGTCAGATCTAGATGCTTTAATACAATATGTTATACATAAATTTTTATTTTTCTCTTCTGAGCCATAGTCAAGCTTAAAGGTTTGAGAATATATTGATGTATTTAAATAAAAAACAAAATTCGAATTAATTTAATTGAACGATATATTTTAATCAAAGATTTTCTTTTTCTCAATTGATATTATATTTACTAACAAACAAAATCCTCAAGTAAAATGCAATAGTTAATACTAATTTAAAAACAGAAAAATGAGTAAATTATTTATCATAAGAATTTCGTTGCAGAGTAGAGATAAAAATAATTTAATTATATATTATCATTTTCTCAGAGTCTATTATCCGTTTCTTTGAAGATAAAAGTATTAGGTGACGATCCGCAACAGAATTCAAGGTTTATTTTTTCAATTTAAAAATGAATACTAATACAAAAATAGACATATCAATAATAAGACAGTTTATCATCTATCAGAGTTAAAGGAAATAATTGTGATGAACATAGACAGTGAAATCACAAGCCTTGGATAGGCTCGTGGATTGCATAGATAAAAGCTTTAATAGGCTCGTAGATTGAATAGATAAAAGCTTTGATAAACTCGTAGATTAGACGGATAAAAGCTTGAGTAGACTCTATTAAATGTAAAAATTTTCTACTATTGTTTTATTTTCATTTTCTTCTGACAGAGATGACGTCTTGTTACAAGATTAGTCTACATTTGTTCTTTTAAATACGCAACAAGTTAGTAAAACTATGTCTGTTCGAATAAACTACTTTTTCAATCTGCTCCCGATCTGGTTCAAATCGTTCCTTCGACTCTGTGATGAATATATTCATAAATTTTTCTTACAAACATTCCATAATTAACCAAAAACTTTTGTGAAATAATATTTGTAATGTCGAGTTTTATTTGTCTCTATATATATATAATAGAAAGAATATAATAAATCTAATAAAAAATTAATATAAATATTCATAATTCAGTATTTTTGTATTGAATTGAAATATAACTTCTTTCTTTCAAAAACAAAAGCAAAATTTCAACCACAAAATAATAAAAAATCAGAAAATGAAATCAAATGAAAGAAAGAAAAAAAAAAAAAAGAAGAACAGAAACTATTTTAACAACCGGTATGTAATTCAAAAAAAAATAAAACAACAATATATAGATTATAAATTTAAATTCAAAAAAAAAACAAAACTGAATTATTTTTTTAATCTTGATCGTTTTCGATATTTACCAAATAAAATTTTACCAAATGCTTGTCGAAAATCAGGTGCAAATATTGTATAAATCACAGGATTTAACATACTATTCAAATAACCTAACCATGTTAAAACACTTATTATTTTTTCATTTATTGTTAAATGAAATATTCCACATACGGTTTCTTCAATAAAAAATGGTAACCAACATAATATAAAACAACCCATAACAACACCAAGAACTTTTGTTGCTTTACGTTCACGTTTAATATCTATTTTTTTACGTGATGATAGTGCAGGAGATTTTGTTATCATTGTATTATTTGTATCTGTTATAATAATATGTTTATGATGAAAACGTGGAGAACTAGATGGTGATGATGTTGGTGTTGATAATGGATTATTAATTGTATTTATTGGTATTGTTAAATCATTTGATGTTAATAATGGTCGTATTGATGGAATAGTATGATTTGTTTGTTGTTGATGAATTTGATTTTCATAATTATTTTTAGATTTTTTTTTTAAAAAAGAAAATGATGATGTTTTTTTTAATGATTTTAATTGATAATCATTTTGATAATTTGTTGTTAATGAATATGTTGAAAAATTATCAGGTTCAATATCATTTGATTGATGACTTATAGAATGTCTACGTTTAAAAAATTTTAAATGATTTAATGGTGAATGTAATCTATCTGTATGATTATTTGGTGTTGATGTTGGTGATGATGATAACATTTCATGTTGTTCATGTGTTAATGTAGGTGTAACAGGTTGATTTGTATTAAATGCTTTACGTCTTATACGAAATTTAGCTGCTTGAAAAATTTTCCAATATATTATACACATACCAATAAGTGGAATATAAAAAGCTCCAACAGTTGCAATAATTGTAAATGTAACATTACCTATTATTTGACATTGACCAGATAGATGACCTTGTTTATTACGAAATATAGGGAATGAATGAGAGCTTGCTATAAGAATGGAAATCATCCAAATAATACAAATAAGTCTTAAAACTCGACCAGGTGTTCGTTTTGTTGCATAGTCCACTGATTAATTAAAACAAAAAAAAAAAGAAAAAAAACTTTATTTATTTTATTTTTAAAATATTATGTGTAATAATAGAATTTGACATTTATTTTGTTAACAATACAATATTGAATCAATTTCAAAAATTTATATTTTGCTATTCAAACTATTTCAAG